AGAAACTTCATAAGTTTAGATATATGGGGGGGGGTCGTACCGAACCCCCAAAAAAAGGGGGGGGGTCATACGGGCTTCACCGAAATCCCCTTCGAATGCTGTGCCCTGTTGATCAATCCCGTTCCTGGGATGCGGCACGCATTCTACTTCCATTCAGAATCGTAGTGGCTTATTGAATGCGATGTGGCCTATACAATGACTTGCGGTGGCCAGCCGATGTACAAGTCAGTGTTTTATCCTCGCAGACAACTCTAGTACCGCTTGGTTCGCTTAGAGTGGAAGTGGACTTTGCCGAATTCCTCCCAGAAGCAAAAAATTATGCCCGGCAAGGACTCGTTCCCACGTTACATAATCTGTGAGAAAAGTAACGCGGTCAATAAAGGCCTGAGAACTTCAAGCAATTACAGGAGTGCAATAATTTAGTTGTAACTGGGAAAGCCTTTTCGGCAATGTTTCTGATAAAGCAAAAACGGAAACATATTAGGGAATCCAACTGTTTCTTTTGAGCTGAAGCCAATGTTCCGCTCCAGACAACACCACTGGAGAAAGCTTCAGAACTCCTTTTGAAGAACTGTTTTGCAGACTTTGAAGTGGATTCTAAATCAGCATCAAAGGCACATCTAATGCCAGGCACTTTTTAAGGGACACACCTGACCACCCATGGTGGCTAAATGTGGAGGGTGGCCCGCTCGTGGTTTAATTGTGCAGGTGGTATCACCTGTATCACCTTGCTCCTGCTGATCATAGTATTACATAGGAAAATTCAGTTCATCTGAGAAGCTGCGTCACGCCTGCGGTTCTACAATCACTGTGAGCTGCACGTACCAACTTTTCAGACATATTGAGTGATTCAACAAGTCCAAGCCCATCCTCTGGCTCGCTACAGGTTGTTTGGAACATCTTAATGATCCGTCAGCCAATAAATTCTATTTCTTTGCGTTATACAGTCTCGCAAGTGGACCATTCACAGAAGTTTGAGTAGTAGTACATGACCGTCTTGAACCACATTGCAAAACATGTTTGCCTCTCGCCCAGATACAGCGTGTCGTAGCATAGGCCTTAGGAACCTCCATTACTGCCGGATGTAAGCTTATGCAACCTGGTGATGGAATTACATCTTAAACTAGCAAGACTTCTTTGTGATTTCTTTTGCCAAAAAAATATCACAGCGCGAAATGGAGCCAAAGCCAGAATCAAACACCATTGTAGCAATGAGTATTTGAATATACTCCTAGTACAGAATTTCTGCAACAAAAGCACTCCGCGGTCGCAAGTATAGAATAGTGTCAACTGACCTGGTACAACGCGTTTCTTTCAGAATATAAAAGTTCGAAAACATTATGCTCAACCTGCCACAAACTATTCCAGAAGCTATACTCGCTTATACAGGGGGGGGCCAAAAAAAAGTCATTCCGGCCGAGTCACATATGAGCGAAGTTTTCGCAGCCCAGACAGAGGAAGTGGATATGA